GCCTCTCAGGGGGGGGTGGCAGCCGTGGTGGGCGTGTCTTCACACCCCGTGGTGTCCCCTCACGCCGGGGCCGAGGCGGTGGTGGTGGGCGGCCCCCTCCTGGTGGAGCCTGGAGCCCTGCAGGAACCAAGATCAAGCCTGGTAAAGATCCATCACCACCTGACAAGGACAAGGCTCCTGAAGACCTTGCAAAGATGGTGGGGCCACCACCAGGCCCTGGCTTTGAGCGCCCGCCCCGGAGAAGACGTCATGGGAGATCCCAGCAGCAGGACAAGCCCCCCCGGTTCCGGCGACTGAAGCAGGAGAGAGAGAACGCAGCCAGGCTTAATGGGACTGGGGGGCACCCTTACCCCCCGGCACCAGCCCCTGTTTCCGGGCCTCCGGTTGAGGAGGTGGCGGTGGCAGCCATGGTGGCCAAAAATGCTGCTGCTCGCCGGGCCAAATCCCCCGATCTCTCCAACCAGAACTCGGACCAGGCCAATGAGGAGTGGGAAACAGCCTCAGAGAGCAGTGACTTTGCTGAGCGCCGCGGAGGCGCTGAGAAAGACCCGGCTCCTGGAGGGCCTCCAGCTCAGACCTTCAAGGGGAATTCGGGGCCCAGTGGGGGAGGCGGGGGCACCATCGGGCCTGCCCCTGGAGCCCGGGCACCCGGTGCTGACCTGAGCCTGGCCCAGCGTAAGGAGATGTCCAAGCGCAGCTTTTCTAGCCAGCGCCCCGGCATGGAGCGACAGAACAGGCGCTCAGGGCCCGGACCTGGCGGGGGCAGGGCTGGAGGCTGTGGAGGGCCTGGAGGAGGGAGAGGAGACAAGAGGAGCTGGCCCTCGCCCAAGAACCGTGGGTGAGGCCCTGGCGGGGATGGGGTGAATGGGACTGGGGTGGATGGGGGGAGATGGGGGGGCACTAATGAAGGCAGACCAAGAAGGAATGGAGGAAAGTTAATGGAGTTGGACCAGGGTGGATGGGGGACCCAAATATGGAACAGACCAGGGTGTGGATGGGGGCACTTTTAATGGGATGGACCTTTGTAGATTGGGGGGCATTAATGGGGATGAACTGGGCTGGATGGGGGGCTGTTTATAGGGACAGAATAGAAGGGATTATTGGGGCCAGGAGGTATTAATAGGAACAGTCGGGCCTATTAAAGTTTGATCTGTCCCTGTGAATGCTCCTCCCTTCCTCCCTCCCAACAGTTGTGGGGAAGTAAATGGTGACAGACTGAGATGGATGGGTAGAGGGTAGGAGGGATGGATGGGGAGCCTGTAGGGAGGTGTTAAGGAGGGCAGCCTGGGATATAAGGTGGCCGTTTGTTCTATTTTATACTGGACTTTCCCTCACCGAGGAGCTGTCCTGTATTCTGGAGATGTCAGAGGCCATCCTGTTGGGATGCTGGAGGGGCATTAATATGGGTGGACTGGGGTGGTTGGGGCATGTTAATAGGGGCAGACTGAGATTGGTTTGGGGGGGCATTCAAGGGAACCATTTGTGGGGGTTGTTCATTGGGATGAAGGAGAGTCTTGATTAGGATGGACAGGGCTGGATGTGGGGAGCATTTATGGGGATAGACCAGGATGGATGCAGGCATTTATTGGGGACAGGTGCAGCAGACTGAGGGGGGGTGGTGCTAATGAGGACAGACTAGGTCTGAATTGGGCCTAGGGGGTGGCTAACGGGGCAGTGCTAATTGGGCCAGACAGGGCGTTCTAAGTGGAGGGAGCGCTAATGGGGACAGAACAGGGCAGGGCTGATGCCCACTGTGTGGGCGAAGGCACTTACGGGGGCACCAGTGATGCCCAGCAAGGAGATGCCCATCTTGAGAGGGGCTGCAGGGGTGTAACATCAGGGTCAGACAGGGGGCAGAACTGGGGTGAGGCAGGGACCTGGGGGTGAGGGGGCCCAGCCCTGACCCCTTCCCCCCCCCCCCCCAGGCGCCCGGCTGAGGACCACTCCCCAGGCCTGGGCCTGGCACCGGCCCCCAATGCCGTATATTGCTTGGACCGCGTCATTCCCAGCGACCCGGCCGGCATCCAGCAGGCCCTGGCTGAGCTTGGTGCCCGCCATGGCACCCGCGCCAAGGCCCCTGCCCCACCTGCCACCACCACCTCTCCGGGGCCACCCTTTGCCCCTGCCACCACTGCCCCCCCTGGCGGCCCCACGCTGCCCCTGGGGCACTTTGAGAGGGGCAGCAGGGGCATCAGCACAGGTAATACACCACCTTTCTCTCTTCTCCACTGACAACCAAGGGATGCAAGGGCTAGTATGCCTTGGAGGAGCCAAGCAGCTCCCCTTGCCCCCAGCCACCCTGGGGGGTGGGGGGCAGATGAGGCCAGTACCAGCCATGGGATGGGATCCTGCATCCTGTGAAGGAGCCAGACCCCCACCCTCGTCAAGCCTGGGGTTGACATGACTTCATTTCCATTCTCCTCTCCCAATCTCAGACTCTCGGTTCCTGGACAAGCCACAGCTGCTGCGCTCTGGCCCCCTGCGTGACCCTGCTGGGGTTAGCAGCCTCCTAGCCAAGCCCCGGCACCCGCCAGCCAAGCCTGAGGTGAGGTTAAGGGAGTTGGGGGACCTGGGGGGCTCAAGGGGGTCATGGGGGAGGGATTCATGCTGTCCACAGGTGCCAGTCAGTCACGCTTTCATTCCAGGACCCCCTGGGCTATCCCCACGGCTCTGTGTTTCCCGAGACCAAACCGGATCCTCCCGGCCCAGAACAGAGAGGCCGCGGGGCCTCAGCCGAGGGGCTGGCACCCCAGATCTGGAGCCGCCTGCAGACCAGTAAATGTCCAGAACTGGGAAGGAGCTCCTACGGGGGTGGGGGGCTCTTTATGGGGACTGACTGGGCAGCCTGGGGCAGGGGCTTTTTATAAGGACAGGCAGGTGTTGTTTTTTGGGATGGACCAGGCAGCCATGGGGGGCCATTTATGGGGATGGGTCAGATGACCTTGGTGGCCTCAGGGGCCCCTAATGAGACAGACCAAGGAGCCATGGGATTCTGATGAAAATGGGCAGGAAAGCATTAATGAGGATGGACCAGGCAGCTGCAGGAGTGCGGACATATCTGGGGACAAACTGGGTTCACTCCTTATTCCCCTTGAGCTACAAGATCTGGGTCAGACATGGTGAGGGAGCAGTAAAACCCATCCCCTGCCCCATCCCCTTAACTCTGTCTGCCCCCCCTCCCCAGATGCCACCAGGAAAAGCTACCGCCCAGGCTCTGTGGAGCCCTGGATTGACCCCTTGAATGCCTTCGAAGACATCGCCAGCACCGAGGTGAAATTTGGGGCCAGTGAAGGGCTGGAGTATCCCCAGGGGGTCACTGGGGTGTGCTCCCTCCCTTCATGATGTCCATAACCTGACCCTTCTGTCCTAGATGAGCCAGTCAGACAGCGGTGTGGACCTGAGCAGCGACTCGCAGGCCTCCTCAGCTGCCTGCAGCCAGCGCAGCTCCCCTGATGGGGGCCTTAAGGGGGCTCCTGAGGCCGGCCCGGGGGGTAAACGGCCCGGGGACCCCCTGGCCCCCGGCCCAGAGGGGGCCGAGCCCAAAGAGCAGAGACGGAGGCTGCCAGGCAGGGACAAAAAGGTATGATGGGGCTGGACGGGGAGGTTACAGTGGGGTCCTAATGGGGACAGCAGTGAGGGTTGGGGAGAGATGTTTATGGAGACAGAGGGGCACCAGGATAGAACATCTGTCTCCTCTTCTTGCTCTCCTTCATCTGGGACATGTCCTAACTGTCCCCCTTCCTTCCCCCCACCAAGGCCCTGCCCCGTGACCCCCCACCCGACCCCATCGGCACAGAGCGGTCACAGCGAGCCCGGGAGGCCGGGGAAGGGGTGGGGCCCCCCGAGGCTCCACCCCCCCGTGAGCCCTCAGCACCCCCTATCCAATTTGGAGTCAGCGACAAGGTGAGGGGCCCGGATGCCTGGGTTCTTTTCTTTTTGGGGGTGGGTGCGTATTGGGAAGCTCAGATGCCTGGGTTCTCTTCTAGAGAGATCAAGCACCAGGATAGCTGGGCTCTCATTTCCTGTGCGGGGGCGCTAAGGAACCCAGATGCCTGGGTTCCCTTCTCCTGGGGCAGGGGTTGGGGATCCTGGGGTTCTGCATTTTTTATTTTTATTTTTTCCTTTTGGAGTTTGGGGGGCTGATGACCCTGGATACTTGGGTCCTCTTTATGCCCTAGTAGGGGTGTGGGGCCCAGGGACCAGGCCCCAGCACCTGGGTCCCTCCCCTCATGGTCCACCTGCTTCTTTCCCACCCCTGGCAGGATACGGATCTCCGGCTGCTGCCGAGCGACACAGGCAAAGCCAGCAAAGAGACTCCACCCCCTGGTCCTACCCTGGTCCCACCCAGTGGTGATACGGTGAGTGGGGTGGGGGCTGGACCCTGCTTGGCCCCTGGACTCCTCAGTTTCCCCCAGCCTCTCTCCTCACCTGCTGCTCTTGCCCACCCAGCTGGACTCTGGCCCCCGTGACTGGGAACTCCTAGCACCCCCCAGTGAGCCCAAGGCCTCAGCTCCTGGCCCAGGCACTGGGCCCCATGGACTCCCCGCAGAGACCCCAGCGTTCTCAGGTGGGGGCTGGAGGTGGCAGGTTGGCAGAAAGCAGGGGTGGGGGAAGCTTGGGGGCTGTGAGGGTGGCTGGGATACATTTATGGGGTTTGGGGGGCAAGTTGGCAGGGTTGGGGGGCAGTGGAGGTGATTGGAATCAGATTGGTAGAGATGAGAGGGCTGGGGGTAGGTTGTGTCAGGGGTGAGCCCGGAGGTAGGCTGGCAGGAGTAGGAGCAGGGGGGTTGTGGGAGTGGCTGGGGGCAGGTTGGTGAGGGGGCATAGGGTTAGTTAGGTAGGCTGGTAGCTGCGGGTGGGGTAGCTGGGCAAACGTGGGGGTTGTTAAATGACTTGGGCAGGGCAGTTTTGGGAGGGCTGAGCCTGACCCTTTGCGATCTCGCTTGTCCTTGTTGCCCCACCCAGGTGAAAGGGGGCAAAACCAGCGCCTCTATCCTGAGCTCTTCTACAGCAACCAGGTTCAGGTAAGGTCCCTGATTTGGTGGGGAATATATATGTGGCACATGATAGTTGGGAAATTATGGTATCTCTAGATCCTATTGGCTACAGTTCTGACACCCTCTCCCCCCCAGGTGTCCAGCGCCCCCGTGGACTCCCAGCTGGGAAGTGGCAGCAGTTTCCGCCCGGGCACCCCATCGCTAAACCCATACAGGTGAGAGCTCCCCACAGAGCCAGCTGCAGTCCCTGTCCCCATTACACCCAACCTAATACCTTTCTGTGCAACTCCCGCAGGTCGCAGCCCTTGTACCTCCAGCCCAGCCCAGCACCCGCCTCGGCACCCACCCCAGTGCTGCCTGGCTCGGCCCTGCTGTCGGGGCTGCCACTCAAGGGCCCTTTCATGGAGTTCCCAGCCCTGCCAGGGCCTGAGCTGGCCAAGCTACCAGGGGCTGGGCTGCTCTACCCACCCGCCCCCTCCTTCATCTACAACCCACCCTTCTGCAGCAGTCAGCTGCCCCCTGAGCAGCCCTTGCTCCAGGTCAGGTCTCCAGGGGGCAGAGTTTGGGGTCTGAGGGGCGGGGTCTGGGTTAGAGGGATGGGGCTTAGGGCATAGTATGCAGAGTTTGAGGGTGGGATTTGGTCCCAAGTGTGGAGTTTGAGTTTGGGGCAGGGCCTGGTCTAAGGTGGGTGGAGTGTAAAGGTTGGGGGTGCAGCCTAGGCTGAGGGTGCCAAGTTACTGGGTGTGGGTGATTTCCATAGGTGGGGGAGCAGAGCTTAAGGTGAGGGTAGTGGGTAATTGGGTGTGGGAGATTTATGTAGGGACCAGGCAGTTGGTGGGGAGGGAACCTGAGGCAAGGGGGTAGAGCCACTGTTGTCACTCAGTAGGCTGGGTTATGGGGAAAGGGGTGGGGCTTCAAGAAGGGGGAGGGGCAAGGAGCAGGACCATTGGGTCTGGATGGCTTCTGTGGGGGAGTAGTTGGTGTGGGTGGAGCCTGGGGAAAGGGGTGGAGTTTGGGGGGCAGAGGAAGGAGGTGGGGCTGTTGGGGGTGGGTGATTTTTGTAGGAGACCATGTGGTTTGGGGGTGGAGCCTGGACAGGCCCACTGGATGTTGCATTGCTATAGGCTGTTGTGTTATGGGAAGGGGGCAGGGGCTCAAAGGGGTGGGGTTTGGGACATGGACAGGACCATTGCACGTGCATGGGGGTGGGAAGGTGGGGCCTCAGTGAGGGGTGGAGCTGTTTGGTGGTTTATGGATCTGTGAAGTGGCTGGCAGGGCAGAGTCTGGGGAAGGTGGTAGAGCTTGAGCAGAGGGAGGGGATGGAGAACAGCTGCATGGGGGCGGAGTCTAGGGCAAAGGCTGCTGGAGCTACTAGCTTCTATAGGGTACTGGGTTGTGGGTGGGGTGAGGCTTGGAGTGGCCTCACCCTCTGACTCCGCCTTCTCTGACTCTGGCTCCACCTCCAGGTGCGGCAGGAACTGACACCCCCCTCAGACTTCTACCCGGGTGCCCTCCCCCAAGGCAGCCAGAGCAGCTTCCTGCCCCCGGCTGGCCCCACCCAGCAGGTAGTCTCTGCCTCCTGCTCTGCCCTGTCCCCTCCAGGCTGAACCCCCTCCTCTAACCCCGCCTTCCTCCCACTATGCAGGTGTTGCTGCCCATGGTGGACTTCAGCTCAGGAGGGCCGGCACCAGGGCCTCCACCACCACCCCCCATGCCCCTGGTGCCCCTAGCCCAGGCCCTGCGGCCCCCACCAGGGCAGTTACCGCCTGGGCGCCTGGTACCCTCGGCCGTGAGGCCCTTCCCACCCGGTGTGGGGCGCGCCGAGGTACCAGGGCAAGGCTGGGGAGTGAATGTGTGGGTGGACTTGTTTTGGGGAGGCTTATGGGAGCAGGGGTAAATGTGGGGCTATAAGGAAGATGTTGGGTGTAAGGGTGGGGGCAGGTTTGTGGGGGCAGATGAGGGAGTTTTTTGGCGGGAGGGATAGTTCTAGGGAGGCCTGTGGGGCAGGGGCAGGCTTCAGCTGAGTGGAAGGAAGTGGGGGGCAGGTCTGGGGATAGATCAGGCTGGGGTTTAGGGGGCTTGGGGTGATTGTGGGGGGGAATTTGGGGAGCAGAGGGGGTGGAGGCAGGGCTGGGGCAGTTTGAGGGGGGCTGGGAAAGGTTTTGGGCCCCTCCTGACCAGTCTCCCCGCCCCCCACTCCCCAGTTGCATCCTCTGGACATGAAGCAGTTCGAATACCGCAAGCCGGGCACCACGGGGGGCAGGTGAGTTTGGGGGCTGGTCTGTGGGGGACTCCCATCTTGCTGTTTTTGGGGTTCACTTAGGGGTCCCCTTCATCTTCCTTCCCCCTTATAGTGTCCCCCAGAGGTCCTCTCACCTCCCTTCCCCCTTAAGGGTCCCCCTCATCCTGTCTTCTCTCCCTGGCTCTACCTAGGGGTCTCTTCAGTTCTTAACTTCCCACCCTGTTTTGGGGTCCCCTGAAGGGTCCCCCGCCCCCCTTCTGTCTATTAGGTTTCCCCCATCTCCCGCTCAGTTCTTTTTGGGGTCCATTGAGGGGTCTGCGCATCTCCCCCATCTCTTTTAGGGTTCACCCAGGGGTTTTTCCATCCCCCCATCATCTTTTGGTGTCCACTAAGGAGCCCCTGTCCCTTAGGCTCCATGCAGGGATCTTCTCAAACCTTCCCCCCCCCATTTGGGGTCCCTCCAGAGGTCTCCTTATCCACCACTTTCTCCCTTAGAGTTTACCAAGGGGTCTCCTGATTTTTTTTTTTTGGTGGGGGGGGTTCTTCCCCATCCCCATTTTAGGGTGTCCCCACCATTCCCTCTTCAATCTCCTTTTGAGGTCCATCAAGGGGTCCCCTCATCCTGGGCCTTCTCCCTTGGGGTCCGCTAGGGCCACCCCATCCCCTTTTCCCATTTGGGGCCTCCTCAAAGGTTCCCCCCACCCCCTCTCCCTTTTAGGGTCCCCTATCCCCTCTTCACCCCCACCCCCTTTGGAGTCCATGAAGGGATTCCCTCTAGGGTTGCACAGGTAGAGAATTTTTATGCTGATAGCAATGGCCAATTTTTAACTAACTGTTTTGGCCGATACTGATCGGATTTCATTATGCAGCCAGACAGCTTGGAGAGCAACGTCCAGCTGGTAAGTCTGTTGTGGGGGAAGAGGGAAGGGGCATGTGGGGGGAAGATTGAGGCCCCTGTGGGGAAGAAGGGAGTGGGGCAGGGGCAGACACTGCACAGTCGGGGCAAGGCACAGGATGGAGCCGTGACTTATTGGGGGGGGGCATTCTCCCCTGGACCTGTATGTGCGGTGGGTGGGCTGCTGGTGCAGGCTGGAGCTGGGCTGCACCAGGCGCTGCCCGGTGCAGGGCTGGGCCAAGCTGTGCTCGGGGCGGATGGCGGGGCTGGAAGGGGGCTGGGGGGGGGGAGGGGGCTTCAATCACCCCAAAATTCACCACCGCCACCCTCCCTGAGCGCAGCCTGACCCAGCTCTGCACTGGAAAGAACCCGGCCTGCCCTAGCCCCCAGCAGCAGCCCGCCCATGCCCCATGTGCAGATCCAGGGGCACATACCACCCCCCATGCCCTCCTGTGAGTCAAGTAGCAGGAGGAGCTGCCTCCCACTCGCACCCCTCACACAAATCACTCAGGCTCCATCCCACGCCTGACCTGGCTGTGCAGCACCTTTCCCAGCCCCAGCCCCACTCCCTTCCTCACTGTGGGAGCCTCAAATACGGCCCCATGCCCCGTCCTTCCCCCCTCGCCCCTTCCCCCACAACCGACTTACCCATCAGACGCTGCTCTCCATGCTGCCGGGCTGCACTCCTCACACCTGCGTGCTGTGTTGCAGCTGAGCCCATGCACAGGGCATTTATCCGTGGCATTATCAGCTACATCCAGTGCAGACAGTTCCCCTCATGTTAGTGCCAACCTGATATCAGACAGATTTACTGGTGCACCTCTAGTTCCCTCATCTTCTTTGGGGTCTAGCAAGATGTATTTGCATCCTCCCCTTCCCTTTGGGGTTCCCCATCCACCCACAGGGGGTCCCCTGGGTGTCCCCCATCTCCCCTCCCCCACTTTGGGGGGTCCCCCATTCATGCTCTTCCCCTCATCCCCCTTCAGCCCCTTCACCACCAGGCTGAAGACCCCAGGGCCCGGCTATGGGGGCAGCTTCCGGACCCCCCGCTACGACTTCGGCCCGCCGGTGCGTGCTGGTGGCAAGGGGAGGGACCACTGAGGGAAGGGCCGGGGTCAGCAGGTTACTTAGGGACCTGGGGAGGTGGGAAGGGGGTGGCATTTCCTTGGCAAAGGAGTAGGTGGACATTGGGACAAGCTGAGAGGGGAGGGGCTTGTGGGCAGAGGTGGGGTCTCAGGGTTGGGGGAGGGGCCAGGGTGGGGGCAGGGTTTCCTGGGCTGGAGGAAGGGGGCAGTGATGAGGTGGGTGGAGTCTTGCGGATTCTTTCTGATTTGGTCCCCTCTTTCTCGACTGGCCCCCTTTCCTTTTTCTTTCCTCTCCCCCCCCCTCCTGATTGGTCCCCTCTCCCCACAGGTGTCACAGGCGGATGGCCCCCCCTCGGTCCCCAGGCCCCGGGGACGCCCCCCTCGGGGGACAGGCCTGATCCCAGCCTGGCCCCCCCCCGCTAAGCTGGGGCCTGGGGGTCACAAAGGGGGTGGAGCCTGAGGGGGACCTGCCCTGTCTGGGCTGCTACAACTGGAATTGCCCTGGGGGGGAGGGGCAAGAGTGGTTTCTCACCCCTCCACGCCTGTCACGAGCTGCTCCGATTTCCGTGGGGTCATCCAATAATTTGTGGGGGGGCAGGGCAGAGTGTATATAGATATAAATATATGCGTGGGCGGGGCTGGGACTGCAGCTCTTCCCCTCCTCCCAGTGGCTGGGAGGGGCCAGCACCCAGCCCCAC